CCTTACCATCATATGATCACGCTAAAATCGATATGCCACCACAATATCCACATCCCAAATTTGATACTAGTTTACCTTGGGATTTTGTACCGATCGAACCACAGCAACCTTGGCCGGTTACTAAAAAATTATATATTTTTGGTTTTCTAATATGGCCACTTTGGTATGTCGGAACCGTCTATAGTATATTCGGAAAAGATCAAGCGACAATAATATGGGGTAGACGATGTATTTGGAACGCTCTTATATTGACAGCAGTAATTACTTATATTGTCGTCGCCTATTGTAGAGCTGCGCTTTATTAATAATCACATATGAATTTGTGAAGGCGCCGATAAAAATCATCAATTCACATTTATTCATTTTTTAAACTTTGTTAAATTTATTGTATAGTCCAAGATTCGATAAACTCTTGTGAGTTACTTGCATGTAAATATTCTTAACACACATCTATCACCATCCATCATTCATCTTTTTCAACTATGAACTTTCATATATTATAATGCATTTTATAATATCTTTAGGCAAAAAACAAAAAAAAAACTATATAACTAAATAAAATTAAAAAATAATTAATATATAATAATAGTAATAAGTTTATTCGCTTCTTTTTTTTTTATTTTTATTTTTTTTTTATTTTTTCAATAAAATTTTTACCATACATTGAATTAATAATTATTTCGATTTTCTGGTAAGACTAATAAAGCACAACATCATTGATTAATAACTATTTTATAAACAGATGACCCTTGAAATGATAGAAATTATAAATTATTTAATCAGCACATAACGATAATATTGTATAACGACAATAATTACAGTATATCCATATGATCAATTAATAGAATATACTATACTATATTGCTACGGTACCGGACAGCAAAAAAATATCCAATTTTTTTTAAAAGCGTCAAATTTTGGATTATTTAATCAAATATTATTGGTCAATTTTAGTGTAACATCAAATATAATTGGTTAATTTTCGTGTAACAAATTCTGTATATTAAACGCCAAATTTTTGATTAAATATAAACTTTAAACTCTAATAACTTTTTAATTTTATATAATAAAAATAAAATTCTATTCTAGCATGGCCTCACCTTTGAAGATTAAAAAAAAAATTAAAAAAATTAAAATTCTATTCTAACGGAATTGTAGCTTAGATTAAAAACAACAAATTTGTAAGACATTTTTTTTTAAAAAAAATTTTTATTTTTTGAGTTAATATTTTTATGTTTTATATATAAAAAGTGGATATTTTTTGCTGTCTGCCACTGTATAAGCAAAATCTATTTAAGCCGCTGATTTGAATGAATCTTAAGTTTATTTTAAAAAAGCCCCCTGCATGAATCATAGCGATAGATTCATCAATTAGAGTGTAACACTTATGTACGTACCTATAAAGTTCATTATCGGCATTTACCGTATTAAGTTATTAGTCAAATCTACCAATCTCTTTCACCCGATAGAATTACAAACTTATCAATATCGGTATAATATCGGCATCCTGAAAAAACAAATAATCCCCTTGTATTAAAAATCTTAAATAGCATACCTTTTCTTCAGATAAACATTTTTAAGAACACCAATCTTTTGCATTCATACATATATTTACTAAAAATTCTCCCAAATTCTACGTAAGCATTAAGTTCGGCCGACATGTGTAACTGTGCATTTATTCTATTTTTATCCCAAATTTTAGGTCATACGGTCGGCTGACTTAGCCATCTTTTCGATTAATGTTGTCCTCAGTATCACCATCGGTTAAGAACGAACTATTATTACTATTACGTATGGATTTTCATATCCCAACCGGTTCAAAAACTGCCGAACTTGAAGTTTTTTTTATAGAAATTCGCCATACTAAGTGTAGTGAAACAAGGTGTATACGTATTAAAGTGTATATAGTTGGTTTTATGTCTAAATATTTATATACTTATTTAAAGGTTCAACCCGTCTATCTCAACTTCTCAACTCAAAAACGTATTTTGGATATTTTTATCGCAAAATTATGCTTAACCAGTTGATTCGGGTAACATTAATTTATTATTTTTACAGTAATAGATCTGTGTAATACAAATCAAAATGCAGTATGTTTTTTTTTAATATCAAAAAAATTTAGAGTTTAAGGTTTGAGCCATAGTTTGTGTTGATGTGTTTTCCGACTATTAGTTATATAAAAATCTCTGTATTTTATTGTTTAAATCAAAATTTCAAATTAAGCTTAAAGGTTTGAACCATAGTTTGTGTTGGACTATTAGTTAGATAAGAATCTCTGCATTTGATTGTTTAAATCAGAACCATAGTTTGTGTTGCTGTGATTTTTGACTATTACATAAAAATCTCTGCATTTTATTGTTTAAATCAAAAATTTCAAATTTAATCTTAATTGTATTACTGCGCTTTTCAAATTATTGTGATCTTTCAGTTGCACTAGTCGAAATAAAGCATATCAGCAAATCTCATAATTTTTTTAGTCCCATATAGCACTGATTAATGGCTCGAATCGTGTCATTATCAGGTTTATATATCGGAACTGATGGAGGTATCGATAAAATTTACCGATAACTCTCAGTTCCGATATGAATTCGATTCGAGCCATTAATCAGTGCCATATCGGAACTGAAAAAACTATGTCATTACGGCGCATTTGCGGAATTAAGCAGACAATTGGTCACCAAATCCAAGCATTTGGTCCCCGAAATTAAATTTTAGTTACCAAATTATATATCAATCAACCAATGGTAAGC